TGTTTATCAAAATTATAGAGCCCGTTTAATTTGTAATTCTAAAAATAATTATTAGACATTCAAAAAATAAATGACAGTTTTTAAAGAACAATACAAGACTATTGTTATCTGAAAACAAGTTTTTTTATAACTAGAAGTTTTAAGAAAACCGAACCAAATAAATTTTTTTTTTTTTTTTTTTATAGTTTTAGAAGAAGAGAAAATTGTTTCTATATTTACAACCCAAACATGCCCATAGTCTTTCATATTTATTACCAACATTAAAACCTAATATATGAAGAATAACATTTCTTATTTAGAACTTTTCAATAAATTGTGTAAATTTTTCTTTATCTAATATTCTAGAAATCCTCTCATAAATGATAATCCAAATATAAAACATTCTAGAGATAATTAAATGAAGTATATGAGATATTTTAAATTGACATCTTTGCATAATTATTACCATTGCTAAATTGAATTAGTTTGTATAGTATTTTAGAAATGAAATTAACTTGCTTGCTTGATAATACTGAAAATTTTGAAATTTTAATTTTAAGTGGTAGTTGTAAAGTGAGAATTTTCTATATATTCTTTAGATTTAAAATATTCAATATTTAGTATTAAGTGACATCTATGTCACTTAAAATTTTATTATTAATATTTTAATTACGTATAAAGATTGCTAGACTGGACTTGTAATGAATGAGACGATGAAAACAACAACAAAAAATTAATAACTAAGAGATTTAATTTGTTCTTCACGATTTAACAAAAAAAAGAGGATAGAGAACTTATTTTTATTTACGCATTAATAATATTGATGTAAAATAGAATGAAGGTGAGTTTTTGAAAAATCTGATAGAGTAAAGAGTTTAAAAACAAAGAGAATATATTTTTGTACATATACTTGGATGAAGAAGTTATTTATAAATCTGACTAGATGTATAGTTGTATCTTTTGTAAATAAAAGAAAGGTTTAACATTTATTTAGTGTATGTATATATATTTATACAATATATAGTATTATATGTATATATATAATAATTATTATTATTAGAGTTTATGCATAAATACAGTGGCACAGCCATGAGGCAATTAAGGCGGTCAAAAATCCCCAATGGAAGAAGAGCCCCGTTAAACTGATCTCATTATATTATTTATATATTTCTTTCTTTTTATATATTAATTATGTTTAATTGTATTAATTACCATATAAATATCATTGTTTTTCTATCGGTAAATATAAACTTTATCTTATCACTACTTCATTCAAAATTATACTTTTTTTGGACTTTGTAATTTATTGAATTTATTACACATCAATTATTATTTGCAAGTTAAGCATAGCTGGTGTAAGAAGGCCTAATTTAACATTTCACTAGGCCTCAAACTGCATAAACCTCGTTTGTGAAAAATAAAAAAATAAAAAAAATTCTCGTAATATAAAAATTCTGCATATAACCTCTTATACTTCAAAGTTTGTAGTATGAACTTTGTACATGTAATCACTCTTAATATAGATATTGGAGTTTTACTCTGAGGGCTAGTTTGATGTGGTGGAATGAATTGAAATGGAGGTAGGAATGGAATGAGAATGGAATTGAATGGTCATTCATTTTGTTAGAAAATGGAATGATTTTGATGAAATGACCATTCTTCAAGAATAGTGGGGAATGATGATTTCAATTTTAAAATTGACACGAGAATGGAAAAAAAACCCATTTCATTCCATTTTCTTTTATTTCATTCCACCACACCAAACTAGTCCTGATTTACTTACCATCCCAAAGTAAATAGTGAGGGTTCGATTTTCTGAACGAGCAAAGTGGATGTATGAACGGTGTATGTGAGTTTCTTATCCATGACAATATATATATATATATATATATATATATATATTGGAGGTTTAGAGTGAAATTATATAATTATATATGATAAAAATGAATAATTTAGGAGTATATAATATAACTTTAATAAATGTGTAAATATGAAGAAAAACTTTCATGCACCTGTTGCTCCTTCCGTGTAATATACGTGGCGAATTGTGTTGTCATGACTTAAATGTACCCATACGGTTCCACGAGTGGGAGAAAATTTTCTACTAAATATGAAGAGAGTGATGATTGGGGATTTCACCACGAACGAGAAATTTGTGATGATATTAAATATATAAGTTTTCACTGGAGGCGTGCTTTTGAAACTTTGTATGGTATAAGGTACATTCTCCATCATCAAAATAGAAGTTCTACAAAATTGCTTGATATTAAGCCAATTATCGTACAGATATTGACCAGTTTAGAAACAAAGTACATACTCACAAAATGAGTTTGACACAAATGCAAAAATTAATGTGTTGTAACATATCATTTCATCATATGGTATGATTTGTTCATTTTAGATAAGAGCTTATACAATTTTGTTCTTGAATTTTATCTCAAAATGACACATACTATTTGGAGTATACCAATCCCATATATATAGCATTTCCTCTTTCAACACCTGGAATCATACACTCGTATAGTTTACCAGCATGGTAGTTTGTCATGCCTTGCTCGCACCTGTCCACACATACTTGTCTATAATGGCACTACAATCACTCCCTTAATGGTCCAACGTTCTTGTTGGCAACACTTTCGGCAGGGTTAGACTCTGATACCATTTTGTAACATCACATTCCACCATAGAGTATGATTGTTTGCTTAATTTGAGCCTGAGTCACGTGGTTTTGTTATTGAGTTTTAACCTAAAAAGACTCATACCATTTGGAGTGTACCAAACTCTTCCCCTTTTCCACATCTACATGATGTGGGATCGTGCACCCATTGCCTGTTAGTGCCTCGTGCACACCCGCTCACAAAGTCACCACAATCCACCCACTGGGAGGCTCAATGTCCCCGTTGGCACACTTCTGGCTATGTCAAACTCTGATACCATTTGTAAGAGCACATTGCACCACATGTTTTGATATTGTACGTTTTGGGTCCGAACTCAAATGATTTTGTTTGGGGTTTTACCCTAAATGGTTCCATACCATTTGGAGTGTATCTATCCTATATATATCACTTTCACTTTTCACACCTGGGCGATGTAGCATCGTGCATCCGTAACCTATCAGTATAATAGTTTGCTAATGCCTCACATTGCCGTCACACATTCACAAGGTCACCATGCAAGAAATGATAGACTTAGATATGAGTACATTCTTGAGATGAATTGAGATAAAATGGGAGAAAATGAATTAATATGGTTTAGACATGTGTAAAGAGTCTACTAAATACACCCGTTATGAAGTGTAACATGATTCACATTTTTGTTTTATTTTGGGGGTCATTGGCAAGAAACTCACACACATTACACTTACACCCACTTTGCTTGTTTGGAGACTTGAACTCTTACCATCTACTTTAAAAAGAAGAGGAGATATCACTTAGAGGTTAAGGGTAATAATATGTATGGAAATCGAAGACCAAAATTAATATAGGTAGAGTTAATAAATAAATTAAAAACATACTAACACGTGGATTGATCATGGTTGTCAGTTGTAAAAGGGGTATGAGACATACCCTAATAGAATCGCATGTCACAGCTGGTTAAGGCTGGCAATGGGGCGAGGCAGGGCGGGGATCTCATTCCCCATCCCCGCTGAATTTTTCAATCCCTATCCCCGCCGCCATCCTTGCTTAAGATTTCACCACCACCCCCATACCCGCCCCCGCCCCCAACCTCTTGTCCCCATCCCCAGTCTCGGCCCCAATTAACATATATTATTTATATAAAAAAACCATAATTTTTCTTATTTTCATATATATAATAAATTTAATTTAGTAATAAATTATTAAATATAAGGGTATATTAGTAATACTTAATCGGGGCGAGGCGGGGTGGGTTTACCCCATCCCTGACCTCGTCCCTTGCCCGATGGGTTTTCAAAATTTACTCCCATTTCCATTCCCGTTTACATAAAAGGGTCCCCATCCCCGCTATAAACGGGACGGGGTGGGGCGGGGACCAGACGGGAATGAGGAATTTGCCATCCCTACAGCCGGTCATGATATTTTTTAAAAATCTTTTTTTTACATCACACACACGGCATGAAACAGCTGACACACGAATTTCTATTACATAATTCAATAAATATATTTTCGAATGATTTTTGTTGTATCTTTAAAGATGATTTAAAACAATTTACCTATGTCTTGATTATAAATCATTGTTGGCAGTAAATGCATAAACATTTAAACTTGTTGCTAGATTAGTGGGCAATAATAGACTTTTTAACATGATTGTATAAAAATCACATTCAACACATTAATAAATTATGATTCATGTAATTGATCTCAAATAATTAAAAAAGATTTTACTTTTTGTTGTTGCCATTTATACCATTTTCAACACATTTATAGAATATCCTCATTTCAAAGATTTTTACACTTTACTCTCATTAATAATTTATTTATTGTCAAACGAGAAATGTGTTAAATTTATAATAGCATTGTTCAATTTTATCGGGATGATGTAAATTTCATGTCTTTGAACATTACACACAAAACACATCCCCGAAAATAAAATTTGTGGTTTGGGTTTATGCCCAATTACATAAACCTGATTCGACATGAATGTAAAATTGACTCATGTAAATCTGACCCGACTTGAATATAAAATTAATTCGGCATTGATATATTTTTCTAGTAACGAAAAATTGACTTCTGTTAAATTGATTGGTCGTGAACATAATTGTCTGGTTACATAAAACATCATTTTTCCATTGTGTTGGATTTGCTATCCCATTGCTGAACTTATTTGTGGATGAGGTAAATCTTATGTGTCCAACATTATACTTAAAACACAGTTTTTTGATCATGGATTATACCCAAAAAGGTTCACCGACTCACCGCAAGCGACTTGTATTTTATAGATAATTCACGCACACACAGTAGATATGTATTATACACATACATCCAGTTTGTGTGGGTCCCACATCCCCCTACCTCTTCTATAAATATGCAAGTCGGAAGATCTCCAAAAACCGAGAAATCCTCTCCATTGTCTCTGGCCCAGGGGACTCTCCATCTCCCTCTCACTCATCTTCACTCACTCAATCATCTCTACCTGTTCCTCAAAAACCCTAGATCAAAACCTCAAAATGGGCCCGCAAGATTCAGACCCGCTATCCGAAACCCTAGATTCGTCTCTCTCCGTCAACGATCAAATCATAGACAACGACGATCATCAATCTTCTTCTTCCATGACCACATCATCTTCAGATCCATCTCTCTCCCGAAACGTTTCCTTCAGTCGACTCAACGCTCAGGCACCGGAGTTCGTCCCTCGCAGCTCATCGTCATCGTCTTCGCCGACAACGCCGACTCAGCCCAGACTCGTGATTCCTCATCAGGCTCCTACGCCTCATGGGCTGGTCCATGTGTATCCGGGTCCCAATTCTTCATTTAGGGTTCCGATTCAGAGTCATGTGACCGTGCCGGTCCAGAATCATCATCCGCTTCCTCACCATGTTCCAGTTCAGTATCATCACAATCAGCATCATCATCATCATCACCAGCATCGTCATCACTATGGTGGTGCGGGGTTTGGTGATCATCAAGACAATGGAGTTCCAGCTCAACAGCAAGCTCCTGCTGAGCATGACCATGTCTCCTCCTCTAGAAATGGTCTATCGGAGGAAGCTACTCAGAAGATTCTCAATCAGGTAAATGTAGTGCAAGTGTTACTTATGACTTTCTTGATTCGGATTTCTTTTGCAGCGATTACATACCAGTTACATTTGTTACTCTGGTGTGTATATGTGTGTTTCTTCTCATTTGGAATGACAATAGTGATTCATTAATTCGTCATTGTATAATTGTATAGTTAATACATATGTATGAGTTATTGATTATTTATGATGACTGGTCAGAACCCTGGTCATATACATGTGTGGCCCCGTGGCAGCATGTGTATACAAGATTAGGTTTTTTTCAAATCAGGAAGATTGTTGCACAACCCGGGGCACATCATTTAAACGTTAATACCTACATATGAGCTCTTAATTACTAATGATGACCTGTGGTAATCTAGGGAATTAAACCTTACTAATGATGACCTGTGGTAATCTAGGGAATTACACCTGTGCCGGGTTGGTGTTCTTTCAGTTCGCTCTTCCCTGGCTTGCTTCGATGAGGTTACTAGAAAAAAAGAACCTACCCTCCTATTAGTTATGTTATTTTCCTACCGGAGCCTGGGCCCAATAAAAATTTCTTTGGAGTTTCAGACAGAGATAAAACCCCCTCTACCAACTAAACAACTTCAACCCAACTGGAACTTCGTAGTTAAGCACCCCTAAAAAATGATAGTAATTGCTCACCTGAGCATCCCAAGACTAGCTGGGGTATCGGTACTACCCACCCGAGCATCCCAAGACTAGTTGGGGTCTGGGTACTCCCTCCTCAGTGCCTCGTGTGTGAGAATCGGAACCAAACCTTGATCAAAGTCCTAACGGATTTGTTAGGAAGGTTGTTGAGGAACCCAGTGTATAGATATGTATGCTTGTGTATATAGCATTAGACTTTTTATCTGGTTGGGAAGTTGCATCACTTTTCAAATTTGGTAATATATGTTGTTTTGGATCTGCAGAATACGCTGGTCGTGAACTACTTTATCTTCTTTTTGACTTTTTAACGGCTGAAACTTAAAAGTGGTAAATATACCTTTAAATTTGACAGAAAACTAGCTCCTTTATTTTTGCTTTGCTGATGATTTCATTCTTCGCCGATGGAGATGGAGATTTTTCTTCGGCACCAATCCTCAAGGAAGCAACCGTCTGCGTCTATAATATATATGGAAACTTTGTCACCCTTCATCACTTCTATTTGAGTTCATAACAGAACACTTGTCATAAAATCAAATGGATGAGAGAGGATAATACTAAGTGGATAAACATGAAAGATGATGAAGATTTCCGTGGATGCTTTCAAGAGAAATAGATTATAGTTTCTCTTAGATAAGATCATAAGGTTTTACTCAACAGTAGAGGCTCGAGCAAATTAATCTTATCAATAATTATCAGTCTTTTTTATTATGTGATCAAAATAAGGTTCTTTACATAATTTGTTCAAACTGGTTAATTTTTGTAATCTAGAATCATCTTAATACTCGTACATCTGTATATCAATTTTTTTTTTGGTGTAATGATTAGTTCTTCGAAACGGAAGGCTGAGTCATGATTTGGAGTGGGGCCCAGTAGGACCCGCACGGGCTTCACTCCAATGCATCTGCATTAGATACGCTTTTTATTTCGGTCAACGGTTGCAGAGGACCTATCATTGCTCTTTATTAAATGGTTGCTGTTATTGTAGGATCAACCATCAAAGTCAACTCTTCCTTATTTTTTCCCTAAATTTGATTCTTCAACTCCAGTATGTTTTTAATTCCACGAATCTTTTACAATATCTTTCTGATGGAAATCTTCTAAAACATTTTCCTTAATTTCATTTGTTCTCTATGATCCTTTACAGTTTTGTTCATGTCATTCATTTATATTTTTCATTAATTTTTTCCTATTAGGAAGCCATCCTCACAATGAATACATTTTATTTTTTCGCTTCCTTCCTATTGATATTAGCAGGCATTACGTATTGTTTATAGCTTCATTATTAATTACTAAACATTTTAAGCGTTCTTATGATAGTTCTCTCTTCTCTTCTCGCAATGTGGACTCGGGAAGATAGATGCAAAATTTGTGTACAAGTATTTTAATACTTCCTGTTTTTATTTATTAAAAACATTTGGAGTGACATCCTTGAAGGTGGAATTTCCAAAACATTTGGGAAAGGAATCTTGCATTTATCAAAATAAAATAAATAAAAATTGGGAAGTGGGATTGTGCACTTGTTCTTGGAATTGTTTTATGGTGTTTTGAGTGTGGGAGGACATGGGAGATGACTTGAGATTGATGGTAGACAAAAAATGGCAAGAATGTTGATCTAAAATCGAGACGTGATGACACTTCTTTATTCCCTTGGAAAACAGTTTCGCACATTATGGTTCTGATGAATGCGACTTTTGACTTTCTTTGCATGTACGGCAGTTTGGGAGCATTTCTGATTTCCAATAATATGAGGCACGCAGGAGATGTAATACTAGATTGGTATTACATGTATAAGTACTTGGGAGAGAAGTCATCTGTTGTTGAATCGTGGGTTCGAGGGAGTTATGGAGTCTTTTCCTGCTAGTATCTACAAGTAACCTGATTGGTTGTCAGAGAGCGGTTGCTCCGTTGTGTTAGTGTTGTGATATGGATTGAGATTTGTTTTTTTAATTCTAAACACATGGTTTTTTTTTTTTTTTTCCCCCTTTCTAAACATGTGTTTTTTACCATGAAACACTTAAGTCGTGCTATCACAATCAATGTTTAAATGAAATCTCAATTATATCATGTTTATGCCCTAAATTCATTACTATACAAAAGAATTCAGTGAAATATAAAAATGCTACACATATTTCATCGCCTTTCTAATAATAGAAACTTGTACTCCCTCCGTCCCAAAATAGTTGTCCATCTTGGGAACAGTTGGCTGTTCCCAAGATGGACAACTATTTCTGTTCCCAAGATGGACAACTATTTTGGGACAGAGGGATATTAATTAGTGGAAATAATTAATACCTTTGAGCCAACTGTTCCCAAGATGGACAACTAGTTTGGGACAGAGGGATATTAATTGGTGGAAATAATTAATACCTTTGAGCCACGGTTCCCAATATGGACAACTATTTTGGGACAGAGGGTGTATTAATTAGTGGAAATAATTAATATCTTGTTGAAGGCTGGACTGTAAGTCTGTAACCTTTGGACTCTTTAGGCCATAATCTTTCTGGACAAGGCATCTCCATCATTGGTGAGACAATTGCCTTTTGATTTGGTGCACTGCAACAAGTGCCTCAACTGTGTTCATTGAGTTTGAAAGAGAAAATGGTAGATCTGTTTGCTGTTGGAGAAGAATTTACTTCTATGAAGAGAGTAATGTGGGCTGGTACACCTTACACACTATTACACCATATCGAGTTTACAACTCCAAGCACATGAAAGGAAATAATCCATTTTATATTCCAAGCACTTTTCAATTAGCATAAAAGTATAAAGCACTTCAGTCAAACAATCACAATGAGTCACAGTTCCCAAGATGGACAACAATTTTGGAACAAAGGGAGTATTAATTAGTAGAAATAATTAATACCTTGTTGAAGGCTGGGCTGTAAGTCTGCAACCTTCAGACTCTTAAGGCCATAATCTTTCTGGATAAGGCATCTCCATCACTGGTGAGACAATTGCCTTTTGATGTGGTGTACCTGCAATGAGTGCCTCAACTGTGTTCATTGGGTTTGAAAGAGAAAATGGTAGATCTGTTTGCTGTTATAGAAGAATTTACTTCTATAAAGATAGTAATGTGGGCTGGTACCCTTACACACTATTACACCATATCAAGTTTACAACTCCAAGCACATGAAAGGAAATTATCCATTTTATATTCCAAGCACCTTTTCAATTAGCATAAAAGTATAAAACACTCCAGTCAAACAATTACAATATTTGAATCAAGTTCAGAATTCTATAGTATTTATGCCATAAATTTGGTTCTATAGCAGATAATACAATGGAATAATAAAAAGAATCTATGCATACCTCAACGCCGACTTAATAGTACAAAACTTATGTGTAATCTATGGAAAGATATAGAATTCTAGTGTAAAGTGTTCTTTAATGCTACATGATTCAAGATCAAATCCATTTGCATATCAAACAATGACCATTGATAAGGTTTGGAAAGGTGAAACTTACAAAGGATAAAAAAAGAAGTAATAAGATTTGGCAGGATGTTGGTCTTTGACAATTGAGGAACGTTTCATAAACTTTAGAACTCCGAGGTCTCCCTCCTGTTGTCACATGTTAGGAACTGGCGTGTCCGATGTTTGGTTCTTGTGTCCAACGCATGTCAATGGAGTTATATAATTTGAGAAATTTAGGATATTTCTTGTGGCTTGGATTTCTTTTTTCCTTATAGTGCGACATAAGTTGGGGGATCACAGACATGTAGTGTTTGTGTATTGGTGAAAAACAAATCCTCGGATGTTTATGTATAGGAAAATATATAATTATACTTGGATCATGAGGTTCTAGATACACTTGTATATATTTAATAAAAGTATGGAAGATTTAAACTTGATCGATTGTATCTACTACCATATTGGGTTCTTTCTATTTTCTACATACGTCTACATGTTCCCTTGAATTTATACTGTAGTTTTTCACATTTTATCCTGCAAATTTGGATAATCAATTCATAAATTGGACGCAGAAAACTTGATTTATCATGTCAACTATTATCACGTTTGTTGTTTCTGTTCTCTTCACATGCCCACATGCTTAGGGCCTGTTTGGTACAGTTTTCTGAGAACAGTTTTTGTTTTCAGAGAATTGATAATCAGAAAAACTGTACAAAATGTTCGCTTTACAGTTTCTGAGAACTGTTTTATGAAAACTTCGACTTAAAAAAAAAAAAAAGGCCTGTTTTCTGAGATCAACCTTTTTTTAGTTATTTTCTGTTCTATGAGTTCTTAGAGAACTGTTTTTAGAAAAGAATGAAACAGGCCCTGAAACCTTTTTTTTTTTTGTGTAGTTTTCACTTTGTTTCCTGCTATTAAACATGCCCATCTCTCCTTTTTTCCTGAACTTTGCTATTATTCTTTAATAAATTCAAATGCATTGTAGGTGGAGTATTATTTTAGTGATGTAAATTTGGCTACTACTGAACATCTAATGAGGTTCATCAACAAAGATCCTGAAGGATATGGTAAGATTTTGGTATTTTGTGTTTTCATAATGGTTTGCAGTATCTGATTGTATGTCTTCAGTTATTTCTAGTTTTAAGTGCTTTGTAGCAAACTGTTCTCTCTGATGTCTTCAATAATTGTTCTCTCTTTGATGGCTGATCTTATCGTGAGGAATTTGATAAAACATTTAGCATTTGATGGAGTTATCTCATTGATGCTCATTGATGCAAGAATTTGATAAAACATTTAGCATTATTGGATGTTCCTGAAAAATTGATACTATATATTTTTTTTCCTAGTATTTGATGGACTCATTGCAAGCAAAAGTGAAGCTTGCAAATTGAAGTCATCACTGAAAATATTAACAACATTACAGATAATGAAATTTTGGTATAAAAAATACTCTGTAGGTAATAGTCATTTAAAATGTAAGTGGGGGATAATACATTTATCGTTTCATGTACAGCGTTATAAAACAAAACTAATTCTATGGGTGTCAAACATCTGCATCCTTATATTCAAATTGAAGAGGAATTGGTCTTAATGATAGTAAGAGAATTTGGATCTCTGATTTAGCAGCAGCCCAGGATTTTATCTTGGTGACTTTAAAATAGGTTCTTACATGATTTTTATTATTAGTATGATTATTATTTTTTAATAACACAGAGATGTAAGTAGGAAACTGAATCTAAGTAACCTAGATATGAAAACTGAAGACATTTTTGTTCAGACTGATAAAGAAGCAGGTAGAGAACGAGAGATTAGTTCAATTGGTATTTCCTCAACTTTCCAAGTGGAAAGTTAAAGGTTTGAACCTCGTAAAGGGTGTGTGCGTGAGTCTTACCTACCATAAAAAAGAAACTAGTAGAGAAGGAAAAGACAGAGAAAATGAGATGGAGTAGAGAGGAAGCAACCAACTGACCAAGTTGTAGAGTTGAATTATGCTCTATCTTTTTATGAGTAAAAACCCAAAGTGGGCTTTCTGTCTTTGCACTTGTATTGGTAAGCAGGTAAGCTCTATGTAAAGCAAGTAAACCTAATTTAACTTGTTTATACTTGCGGAAAATGATAAAATCAGTTTGTTGCTTGATTCCATGCATAAACCAAGTTGAGCAGGTGTACAGCCATCCAGATCTTCATTCTACCATGTTGCCTGATTGTTACAAAGTTTTTATTTGTTTTTGGGCTTTAGAAAAAATAAGCTTTCCCACTCTGACCATTCTTCCCTCCTCTTATTTAGTGCCGATATCCGTTGTAACATCTTTTAAGAAGATTAAAGCACTCATAAGTAGTAATTCCCAGCTGGCTACCATTCTGCGGAACTCTGGAAAGCTTGTAAGTTCCACACTATTTTGTGGACAACTCACTATTTTTTATTGATATCCTCCTATTATGCAGATGTTCCTTTCTACTTCTTTACTGTCATTATTTTTTAATGCTAATCCTGTAGGTAGTTAGTGAAGACGGGAAGAAAGTTAGACGCCAGCATCCTTTGACTGAGTCGGACATGGAAGAGTTGCAGGTAGTTTACTTCCATTATCTGGTTTACTCATATTCTCCTTATGTCATGCGAGATCAACTTGCTTGTGGTATATAATGTCTATGTGCTCTCCTAAATTGTGCCATCTTCAAATAGATTCATGAATAACTTATAATGTATATTTTACCACGGAGTGTTCTGTTTTTCCTGCCATTATCTTGTAAAATTCAAAGTTGATGTTTGCTGTACAAAATGAGTGGTAATTGGATTCTCTTAACATCTTATACTTGCCCTTAACATTTTATACCTCTTTTTCCCTTTAGTCTCGCATAGTTGTTGCTGAAAATTTACCCGAGGACCATTGCCACCAGAACCTAATGAAGATTTTCTCCACCATTGGGAGGTAGCGATATATATATGTATATATGTATATATATTCCCTTTTAGAAGAGTTACAAACTGTATACATAAATTTTTTTAAACAATATTTGCTACTATTCTGATCATTTATTTCTTTTTTGCCAGTGTGAAGACGATTCGTACCTGTCAACCTCAAGCCTCCAATGGTGGGGCATCTTCGGCATCTAGATCAGCAAAATCAGACAGCATGCTTTATAGTAACAAGGTATATATTTGCATAGCTGTTTGTTGGGCAGTTTTTATTCAGTTCCATAGAGTTTAGTTGTGTTTTTCAGTGATGATAGCTAGCTGACTTGAGTTTTCTTACGATTCTAGCATTCTCTGCAGCCGAGCTACATCTATTTGGTTTTACACTTAAGTGATGATAGCTGTCTTGAGTTTTCATGTATGGGATTTTCTATATTTTCATATGTTTGATGCCTCACACATGGGAATGCTCACACAATTACAGGCTACAGCTTACAAGTTTGTTAGGAATGGACTGATTGTAGCCAAACTATGATCCATAGGGTTAATTTCTCATGCTCTTGTTTTAGTGCTGCTTGGGACATGTTTGGTCTCGTAAATCTCTCTCTCTCTCTCACACACACACACACACACAGTTTGTGTGTCGTAACCCGCACACTGGAAGTAAGTTTGATTATGAAGGATTTAGGGTCGAACGACATCACTTTTGAGGTTTGGAAGTGTCTAGGGGATATCGAGGTATGTTGGCTAATAAATTATTTAATAAGGTAACAGCAACTAAGAGAAAGTGTGATGACTAGTGCATGTATTTTATTACTTATATATCAAAATAAAGGGTACTTGCAAAGTTATAATAATTATTGTTGTATTAAATTAATGATTCATACTTATCAAAAAAAAAAAAAAAAAAGTTAAATTAATGATTCATGCTATATGAAACTTTGGGAGAGAGTGGTTATATAATGATTATGACGAGGAACTGTTGTGTTAAAAATTCAAATTGGAATGGAGGCCATATACTTATCGAGAAGACTAATGGAAAAATACGAGGAGAAGAAATATCTTCATAATTTATTTATTGATCTAGAAAACGCCGATTGGTAGGCAGGGCTACAAAAAAGCTTGAGTCTTTTGTGAACTACTTGGGCTCGGCTCGTGTTCATTTATTTACTAACGAGCTGATCCCAAACAAAATTATTAGGTTCATTTATTAAACGAGCCAATCTCAAATATATCAATGCTTGGCCATTTGTTCATGAACATGTTCGTGAACAAGCTCGTTTAAGTTCTCTTTTATGTATGTAAATAAATAAATAAAAATATATATTTAGAATTTATATAGAACTATGTAAAAATTATTTTATATATTTAGGCTTTAGCCCAAGCCAACTCAACCCAATCCAATTAACCCAATCCAACTAAGTCAAGCCCATCGCCATCTCAAGCCCATTCTATATATTCTATTTAACCTAAACCTTTCATATACTCTCCTTAGCAACGACCTAGTCCCCACCACCCAGACACAGACATGACGCTTCTCTCGGGGGCAATTCAAATAACCACATTCTAGCAACAACAAAATCAAACATTGCCCATCAACACAACTTCTTGAAGGTGAGTTACCTTCTCTCTTCCTAATCTGAACTCATCCACTCTTAATCTCCCTCACATGGCATCAACGATGGAATGAGTGCCTTTGGGTGGCACAAACTGAGGAGATTGGTAGTGAAGATCGAAACTGGCTGCAACCTATTGACACGAATAGTTACGACATGTATACACACGCACATATTATATACACGTAGATTGCATAATATACTACGTGTTTGTGTGTAATATAATGCGTGTATATTTGTAAACGAGTTTCGAGCCAAGCCTCGGGTGGATTGTGAACGCTGTCAAGTCAACTTTGGACATGGAGGTGGGAGCTCAAAGCTCAAGTCGAGCTTGAGTTGAGTTTGAGTACTTTGGTTGCAAGCCGTCACTAATCTCTACTAGGGTCATTTGTAGCCTTATTGATAGGGTACCTAAAGTATTGGGGAAATAAGTTCAACCACCAAAGCTAAAAATTGATTTTTTCCCACCTGTTTTTGCGAATCATAAAGTAAGAAAATACTCGCATTGATTTGAGTAAAACAAGTTTCAACCAAAATTTTAAATAAAAAATTGATTAGGCTTCAATGCACCTCTTGATCTTCACTCCTGTCACCTTGAAAGAATTCACAAGTTTTGGAAGAGTGGTCTCGAATAGAGCTAAGAAGAATGCTAGGAATATTTTAGAGAGAGATGGAGAGAGAGACGAGTCATTTTTTTCTTCTCAAACTCTTTTGCTTGCTCTTCAAGTTGGACTAGGAGTGACCAAGATGGAATCCATGTGGTATTATTTATCTTGGCTTGGTTTGTTTGATCACATAGAACTTGGCTACTGATTTTTACAAAATTATATATATATATATATATATATATATATATATTTATTAGATATATTTTTCAAAATAATTATAAGTGATCAAACAGAATAAACCAAGAGACCAAAATATGGATAAATTGATGGTATTGCCTTACTGTTATCCAAACACTAATTAATATGGAGGGGTTAATTGGTGGTATTTAGCACAATAGTGGGTTCTATAATTTACTCATGTCTTGGAGTGCAACTATTTTTCTTTAGTAGAATTGAAAATGATTAATAAGCTAGTTAAATGGGTCAAGAGTTGATAAGCCATCTGATTGGGCTTATTGGAACCAAGACTTGGGTAGGCTCATCTAGATCCCACTCCTAGCCGAGCTTGGAGAGTAAGCAAAAGAGTTTAAGAAAAAAAAGGGGATGTAGGAGAGAGGGGCGGCCCACACATTTTGCCCTAGGGCAACATTAGGGTTGCAAATGAGCCGAGCTGATTAGTGGCCTTAGGGATATCAATGGGGTGGGTTTGGGATGGTGCCCCCTTATACCTTGAATTAAAAATTATGATAAGAAATATCATAGCTAATAAAATAATATATATTGATATATTAATTGTTAATCGAGTCGGGTTCGGGGCTTTGCAAGTTTCAAATTTTTTTTTTTCCAAACCCACCCCTAACCCTATTATGATGATCCCAAACCCATCCCAATAAGGGTGGGGCGGGGCGAGTTAAATTGGCATCTCTAAGTTTCTTGATCAAGCTCGACTTGGTCTACAGCAAAATTACTCGGGCTCGACTTGAGCTCCATCCTCAATGTTCGAACCCAGCTTGATCACTTCGCGATACACTCGAGTTCGGATTGATACTCGTTTACAAATATACGTACATTATTTTACACTATATTATGCAATTTGCTCGTATCTATATAATATATATGTATATATGTTGTACCTAATGATTGGTATCCCAATAGATTGCGGCCAGTTTCAATCTAGTACAGGTCTCCAAGTTCCTCAATTTTGTGGCACCCAAAGGCCCTCATTCTCCTGTGATCCATGTGAGAGAGATGAAGAGTGGATGAGATATGGAGAGAGAGAAGACTCACCTTCAATTTGTTGCAGTGTAGATGGAGAGTGGTTTGATTTTGCGGTTGCCACAGAGGTCTGATTTTGCAGTTGCTGGAGAGGTTTGATTTTGCGGTTACCAGAGAGTGGTTATGTCAGTACTTCGTGTTTGTGTGGTGGCGATTGAAGCGGCGTTGGGGTTTCTTTGTAAGGAGAGAATAGGCTTACGTTAGATAGAATATGTAGGATGGACTTTAGTCTTGCAATGGTCATGGGCTTGCCTTATTGGGTTTTTGAAAAGAAAGAAAATTGGGTGGGGTTTGGTTGGACTTAATAAATAAGTTAAAATGATTTAAGTATTAAATGGGCTAAAGTCAAAATATACGTTATATTTTTACATAGTTATATATATATATATATTTATTTATTTACAAGCTCAAAATGAGCACTTTATAAGCGCAGAATGAGCACTTAAGCGAACTTGTTCACCAACAAACGAGCCGAGTATATACATATGTTTTTTTTTTTTAATAAGAGTATATACATACGTTTGAGATTGGTTCGTTTAACAAATGAAGTACGAACCTAATAATTTTGTTTGGGCTCGGTCCGTTTAGTAAATAAACGAACACAAACCGAGCCCAAATCGAGCTGAGCCCGAGTGGTTCGCGAATGGTTAGGCTCATTCGTAGCCATAGGCAACATGTTCGCGCGCACACACACATATGCATTAGGGGATGGAGTTTGTGGATAGCTTGAACTTTTAGTGTCACCTTGGACGTCCTTTGTTTCCTTTCGGGTTCGCTCCCCTTTTTGAGTGCCTTTAATAATTTCTTACTTACCGAAAAACAAAATTGTATGCATAAGGGGAGGGGTGGTTGGATAGTGTGGTGTGTGGAAAAACACAAGACTCCTCTCTCTTTCTAAAATATTCCTACGGTTCTTAGCTCTATTGGAGATCACTTTTTTAAAGCTTGTGGATTCCTTCAAGGTCATAGGAGTGAAGATAAAAGGTGATTGAAGCCTAATCAATTTACTATTCAATTTTTTGGTTGAAGCTTGTTTTACCCAAATCTATATTAGTATCTTCTTACTTTATGATTCGCAAAAGCAAGCGGAGAGAACTCAGTTTTTCACTTCCGCGGTTAAACTCTTTTTTCCAACATAAATTCTAATAAGGAGAATTTTAGAACATAATGAATTCATAAGGATTATTATAGTGACGCAATAAAGGACGTGTATGATTTATGTTTGACTATAGTTAGGATGATTGTGGGAGGCCTCTTTGAAGGGTTGAAGCGTTTTTTGGCCTTTTTGTTTGTTTGGGATCCGCTCCCCCTTTTGAGCGTTTTTTATAAAAAATTTCTTATCAAAAAAAAAAAAAAACTTTAGGTTTACATAAGGGTCAGCATTAAGTCTATATCTTTTTTCCTTAGTTCTGACAAGACAATTTTAGATGAGATTTAATGGTGTATGTTATATGCTGTTGATATTGTTTGTGCTAACTTTGGAGGTTTGAAATGACACTCTAGAATTGAAAAGTTTAAGATAAGAATAAAACTGAATGTATGGTGTGTAACTTCAGTAAATCTAGAAGTACAAATAGATATGTGGTGAAGATTGAGTGGCACAAGGTATAAAAACATGAACACATTTCCATTAGTTAGGCTCTAGTATTTTGTGTGATCAGTGTATTCCTCTAATATTGGTAGTTCCATAAAACAATTATTAGACAAGTGGTTCTTTCTTGTACAGAATGTTGAGCAACTAAGAAACAAAATACACATAAAGTGAGTGGTGAAAATGTTAACGCTAAGATGGATGTGTGGGAAGACAAGAATACAATCTTGAGTTGGTCAGAGTAGCACCAATTGGAGATAAAATGAGATAAACTCAAGTAAGATGGTTTGGTCATGTGCATAAAAGATCACTAAGGGTATGTTTGGTACGGTGGATTTGAAGGTGGAGGATAAGATTAGTTATGAGGGAAAGGGAAGGGAAGGATTATTTTAACCCTCCATTGTGTTTGGTTAGTCAATGAAGGAAAAGAAAGGGAAGGATAATAATTATGTTTGGGAGAAGAAAGGAAAGGGAAGGATAATAATAAATTTACTATTATACCCTTATTTTATATATATATATATATATATATATAGAATACCTGCACAAAAAAAAAAAAAAAATTTCAGCTCCCCATTCTCGCCTCCATCCCCATTATATATATATATATAATATAATAAAAGGAAAGAAACAAGAAAAGGAAAGAAAAATTTCTTTCTTGAACAAGGGCGATCCAGATCCGGCTGTAGCACCTTCGTTCTTGAAGGTTCCGATCCAGGGCAAATCATTTCAGCCTCCCCAATCTCGGCCTCCATCTCTATTATCGTTCTCAACTCTCTCTCTCTCTCTCTCTCTCTCTACAAGATTCAGAACCCAAACCCATATATTTCAGTTTATCTTTCTGTCTGCAAGAATCAAAAATTCAAAACCCGTATCGGTATATCAGATTGTTCAGAAAATCAAAACCCATATCTTTCAAGTTTCCATCGTCGCTGTTCCAGTTTGGGTTCGCCATCGCCGCTGTTCCAGTTCGGGTTCGCCGTTGCCCGCCGTCTCTTCATTCTTTCTGCAACTGCTATCTTGTATGTATATTGATTTGAGGGTAAAATTGGCATCATCAACCATTACCTTCCCTTTCCTTCCATTTCCTCCCATTTTTGGGAGGTTAAACAAATCACTGTGGAAGGCTATGCATAACCCTCCAAACCCTTCCCTTTCCTTCCCTTCCCTTCCACCCATTTTACCCAAACACAGTTTTTTAGTCACCCTCCATCACCTTCCCTTCCCTTTCCTCCCATTTCTACTCTACCAAACTGAGCCTAAGTGCAGCAATTAGGAAGAGTAACATAGTCCATGTTGAGGGTAATGTTAGGGAAGGGAAAGACCTAACTTGAGTACACTTGGTAAGAAAATATATCATAACATGTGGTTTAACTGAGGATGTGGCTTTGGATAGGGTGGACCCCAAGTAGTTAAGGAAAAGGCTTTGTTGATTTCCGTTTGCTCATCATGATAAGTTGGTGAGAAGATTGGCATATGCGAAATTTGTTCCATAGGGAGACCATAGTAGCGTCCATCCTCTCCTTTTTTTTGTTGTTGTTGTTGTTGTTGTTGTTTTAGGTTCCCTTTCTGGTATGAAAAGAATTTGGAAAATTGGCATATACAAATTTGTTCCATAGGGAGACCATAATAATGTCCATCTATCTCTCTCTCTCTCTCTCTCTTTATTTTTTATTGGAATGTTCTAACGTTTCACATCTAGTAAATGCTTAAAAAGAAAAGAAAATTACATCATTTATAGTGTACTCTTTTATGGTAATAATTACTCTTTAATTTTCATTGTACTGATATTTGAAGATACAAAATAATCATTGGATAATACGGTAAATGTACGTGTGTTTGTGCGTGTTTATGTACATTACGCGAAATTTTATGTGCCGTTAGATATTAGTAAATTGAGACTTTGTCATTCTTTAGAATAATTTTCTAGCACGCTTGGTATGAGTATAATGTCTCAATAATCCGGAGTTGTATTGGAAAGAGAGGAATAGGAGATCCTTTGATGGGTGGAGTTTCCTTGGGGGTGGTTAGATTTTCGGTTCTCAACTTTCTATTCTTTTGGTTACAAGGTTCTTAATTGAAAATCTATGGAGATTCTTTTGTGGATACCTTGAGGCTATAGTTTTTGTGCACATGTTCTGGGCCACACCCCGGCCCTTTTGGGTGCTCTTCAATGAAATCTTACTTTTCAAATAATAATAATAATAATAATAATAATAATTGTGATTTTGCGGCCCAAATTTTGTTTCAGTTCTGAAAACCTTTTGACCCGTTTTTTTATCTTGCGGGACATGGACCCTGTTTAGAACTCTTTTGTAGCCCCCTATATAAGGGCGCTTAGGGTTTGGAGTGGGATAACAAGAGGCATTGAAAATCATAGGGAAGAGTGAGAGGTGTGGTTTGGGGGTTGAAACCTGATTTTTGCATAGTAAAATCTTTTGCCGGATCGTCACCGTGGACATAGGCACAACTTGTGTTGAACCACGTAAATATTTGTGTTCTTTGTGTGCTGTGTTTACTTTTCTGTTGTGATTTGTTCTTGGTTGGCTGCGTTTTGTCATAACAACAAAAATGATGATGATGATAATGATGATGATGCAGGGTTAATGTATAAAGTTATTGCAGGGTTAATTTTTAAAGTTATTGCAGGGTTAATTTAGAAACTATAGAATGGTTTTGGGCTTTGGACACAAGGTTCATTTTGTTTATATAAAAAGTTGGAATGGGTAAATTCAAACTTAAAAATGCTGAATTGGATTCAATGGGGATTAAGATTTTTGTTTTACTTTCTCACTTCCCTTTTTTCCTTTGGTGGGGGTGGGGATCATGCATGCATAAATTTTAAGGTTCCACAGCATTGAATCATCACAAAAATGTAGCAACTTGTCAGAACTCTGGGGGGAGGGTCATTGCCAATACCTACCCTTCATGCAATTGCCACTAGGTGAGAAATTCATTGAAACATTGATTTATGAATCGAGAAACAGTTTAGGGCCTCCCTTCTGGGGACACTATTTTGATGTCTGGTTGATGTGTGGTTTGCGGATGCACCCTAGGAGACTCAGCATGCCAGAAAGCAGAGCATGTGCCATTGTGTTTTTCTTTCTTAGCAGTGATGTATGCTCAACTTTCAACCCTGTTTAAATCCCATCTGCTATGAAGTTTTACTGTTCAGTAATAGATCATCTGGAATTTGGATTGTTAGAATTGTACTCTGTGAACTTGTTCTATATCTATGCAATTGCTTGTTTTCTATGTTGCTTGTTTTCCCTGCATGTAAGATACTAGTCTCTAATTACTGAACTCCATTTACTTTTTTGTAGTTGCATGCATTTGTGGAATATGAATCAGTCGAATTGGCTGAGAAAGCGGTGAGTATTATTTCTTTTTCTGATCTAAAGGTTTCTTTACTCGCTTGTTTCCGCGATCTGGTCATACGAGAAGATAACATTTGAAGTCTCTTTCTCAGGTTGCGGAACTTAATGATGAGGGTAACTGGAGGAGTGGTTTGAGAGTTCGTTTATTCCCTAGACGCACGGTATATACTAAACATCGTTCTTTGCCTTGATTTATGAAATGTCAGTATTTGCCAAGTTAGGGGATTAACGTGCAGGATGAGGGCTACCCCCTGGACCTAAGAACATAAAAGAAATGAAGAGATTGGAGCATTTTCTGTACTTGTTTACTAAATATAAGTTTGAATTATTTCACATGGAACCTAGCTGTGAAACCTATCTAAGTTGATACTTCCAATGGTTTAAACATTGATCCCTATGTTTTGGCAATGATAGTCCAACCATTTCCATGGATTTAACCCTGAAATTTCCTTTCCTCTCCATTCAAATACACAATTGCTTGCATTTTGATGGCAGGATTTTGATTGTAAATCATATCAAAGCTTGATAAAGGAAGTTTCATGTGTTCACTCAATATAGTCGATCATCTTAGCTCCTGGATTTGACCATTGATGTATGTATTCTTCAATTTGCAGGCAAAATCTGTTCAAGCGCGATCAAAGAAGGTTGGGCATGAAGGTGAGGCTAACCATGATGAGGAGGACACATCTACATCAGACCCGCAGCAGCCAAGTGAGAGGAACTTAGAAGATCTTTCTCGACAGTCTGATGCCCAATCACATGAGCATGCAGTAAGTGCAATTGGAATTTGTCAAGATTTATCTGCTGCCATTTCTGATGCGGTTGTTTGGAAACCACAAGATAATAAATTGATTCAAATTCAATTTCCCACCCTTTTGATAAAGTTATTTGTCCTTGTTCTTGTATCTGTTTAGTATTGGTGGATAAAGTTCTCCCATGAGTGGTTCTAGGAATTCACACTACAATTCCCTTATAGCACCCTGTTCCTTGTGTTAAACAAGTTTTCTGCTTTCAATTGCTTGGAGATGGATACAAAGAAATTCATATGTTTTTTGTGGTTCCGAAACCTTTCAACGTCTATTTGCCTTGTAATGAGTTTTATAAGACCCATTTTGTAACTCTGCTTGGTCAGGGAGATGATCACGCGAACGAAAAGGAAGGTGTACAAAGGAAAGGGCGTAATCGTGGACGAGGAAAGGGACGTGGAAGGGCTCAATATCATCATAACAACCGTGGAAGCCATCATCATGTAGGGACTCCCCCTTCAGATAATGCTGTCAACACGGAGCATGCAATGGTGGCAAAACAGCCCCCTGGGCCCCGCATGCCAGACGGCACTAGAGGGTTTTCCTTGGGTCGGGGAAAGCCACTTGCTGTTTAATATTGGGTAATAAATTCTTGTCTACAAAGTACATGTGGTTTTCTTGCATCTGCGCAATCGAGTAAATGTTGGGATGGAGAATGTCTTCTGTTTTTTTAGTGTTGATGTCAGGGTTTTGTAAGTGGATGGATGTAAGATCCATTATAGTTGGTATAAGGGTGAGTCAAGGAGCTTGGGTTGAACGTTGCTTTATGCGTTGTGTTTTATTTTATTTTAAAGGATCTTGTAAAAGCAACTGTTTTTTCAGGGTCTTTGTCATTGTAGAAATTTAAAGCAAAACTTGGAGGGTCCACCTATATACCTGGTGATATGTGTGAGTGAAGAATCAGCAATGCAATAATACTAGTTTCTTTCCCTTTGCATATATGTGAAAAATCATCATTCCCATAATATTTTACTACTACGTGTTCCTCGGTCTCTCTACGTATATGGGGGGAATCAGTATTGCAATGATCTCCCTCCTGCATGACATAGAACAGGTGGATTCAATTAGAGGAAGTTAGTCGGAACTTCCTCTAATTGATTGAGGCTATGGCCTTAAATAGAACGGAATGGATGGTCCCAAATAATTGGGAAATGGCTTTGGTGGTGGTTGTGTTGGTCAGAGCTTGTAGTAGATTTAGTTTGTTCTACAGCCTACAGAGGACAAGTTCTCGAGTGTAGTAGAATCAATTTCAAGTGTAGAATCAAATTGCTTCTGTTTCTTTGGTTTCTTGTTGGACCCATTATATGTATAATGTATTTGATGATTAAGTGGGAACTAATTTTGGGTATATGAAGATTTAACGTTTTACTAGATCCAAAAGATGAGAAATGGAGAATGCTAGTTTAGAGTGTTTTCTGGAGTCATTTTGTGTTGTATGTCTGATCAATTGCTTAGGGCTCGTTTGGTGTTGCTGCTGTTCTAGTGTTTTGAAGCAAAAACACTTGCAATTGCGTTGGGGTTGCTTTGTTGTTTATGATGTGAATGACATTAATACCTGAGCTTGAACGATTTGTATTATGGGGTAATGTGGTGTTAGATTTAGCTGTGAAAGATTTATATATATATATATATATATATAAATGAGAAACTCGTCAATTGTGTATGATGTATTTGATTGAGAAAGAATATTGGTTTGATTGGGAGAGAATATTGGTAGAGTGAAGAAAAGTGGTGTGAAATTGGGGTATAAAAAAAAAACAGAAAAACCACAACAAACTTTTACACTGACGGCCGAGTTTCGTACAACACAACCGAGTAGACAAATCATGAACTTAAAAATCTCTACATTTTTGTTTTTTTGGTTGTTTAGACAAATAACACACTTCACTTATATTTATTATGTTTCACGTTGACGTGAACTCTTATTTATTTTTATTTTTTGGTAAGTTGACAGGGTGAAAATTTGTCATTCGGCTACAAAGTTTTGTGGTGCTAAAATCTCTCTCTCTCTCTAGCAATGATCAAAAAAAGATTTGGAATCACGCCTGTGTATTCTTTTTTGGGTAAGTAAGGATAAATTGAAAAGGAAAAATATACAATTGTAAAATGGGGCATACCCCATGCCCTTACAAGGGGCCCATAGCCAGCCCAAAGGTTGCTTGGGCCAAGCAAAAAACCAATCTACACAGCCACGTACAAAGAAAACAAAATACAAGGCGAAAACCAAACATGGCCTTGGATTCAAAAAGTAACGAACCCTAACCATCAACTAACTCAAACTAGAGAGAAGGCATGATTATCAACAGAAAATGAAAGATTCCGACTACTAATGAGGAGGTGGTGGTGGGTGATGGTTTGTAGGAGGGTTGGAGGAGGTCGCAGCACTGGTGTTTGTGGCAATGGAAGGATGTGGCTGAAGGTTTGGGAGGTTTGTGCTTTTGCGAGAATGACCAGCAGGGATTCGTATGTGAAGTTTCGTAGAAGGATGATGGCAGATTCCAGTCATTTGCAATGTCTTCAGCGTAGGGGCAATCACATTTTTTGATTGAGAAAAGCTAGGTTCGTACAGTGTTGATCACTAAGTTCAGAATCTGCAATGGAGGTAAAGTATTGCCTCTAAACATTATGTCGTTTCTCTGCTTCCAAATGTGATAAACATAGCTAGCTAGCACCAACTTCCAGGTCAAAATTCGGCTGAATTTTAATTTTTGTTTCCAATTTGAGGATGCCCAAATAAGGAAATCCTTCCATGAGTTTGGATTTGTATAAAATCCACATTTTTCTTGGATGCCATTCCATATGACCTTTAAGTATGTGCATTTGTGGAAAAGGTGATCATGATCTTCCGCAGCTTGTGGACACAGTAGGCATACATTTGGTTGCATGGTGTAGAGAATTGATGGCTTATCCTGTCTGAGTTTTCCTTGGATTGCCAACCAAAGGCAAAAGAATGCTTGGATATAGAATGTTTAAACCATACTAACTTGTGCCAATAAACATTTGGGGTAGGCTGGTTTATGGTTTTGAGGGTGTGCTTGAGGGAATTTGATTTGGATGGTGATGGAGTCCACTGAATGAGATAATTTGAGTTAAGGTTTGGGAGTGGTAAGGTGGAGAGGTCACAATGAGGAATAATTAGGTTTGATAGGTGTCTAGGCCATGTCCATTGATTATTTGATAGTAGAGAGGAAACTTTCATGTATTTGTTGATAATCCAGTCTTGCCTAAGATTAAAGTTAGAGAATACCTGGTACAGTGGCCCACATGGTGGCCAGTTGTCAAAAAGAACCATTGTTGAGCTGCCATTATTGATAGTATGCTTGATGAGAGGTCGTACAAGATATCTATTTTGTAGTAACTTCCTCCAAAACCAGGAGAAGTCATTTGGGATGCAAATCTCCCAAATGTTCTTGTGCTTGATTAGGTACTTGAGAGTCCATTCCATCCATATGCTGGTTGAATCATTAGAACATAGAGTCCAAAGATGTCTAAGGATGGATGCATTGTTCCATTAGTGAAGATCATAGATGCCTAGCCCTCCTGCCTTCTTTGAGATGCAAACATTTTCCCATTTGACCTTTGCTCTGAATTTGTTCATGGTAGGGCCACTCCATAGGAACTTCTGAAGAATTTGATTGATTTGTTCATATACTTTGGATGGAAGTATGAAGAGATTTGTCTAATAAATATGCATGCTGAAGAGAGTTACCTGAATTAGTTGAATTCTGCCAGCAAATGATAGTGCCCTTGCTGTCCAATTTGTAACCTTTGAAATAATTTTGTCTACCAAAGGTTGATAGTCATTTGCTGTCAATCAAGAAGTGATGAGTGGGAGTCCAAGATACTAGACTGGAAATGTGCTCAAGGGATAACTGAGAATGTTGCAAATGCTGATTGAAGTGGAGGTGGAAACACCACTAAGGAAGACTTGACTTTTATTTGGGTTGGGAGAAAGACTAGAGACTGATGAGAAAGTAGTAATGGCAGATTTGAGAGATTGAACAGAATGCAAATTACCATGACAAAACATAAGGATATCATCAGCAAATGAGAGGTGTGAAATATTGACAGCATGGCATCTTTAGTGATATTTAAACAAAGGGTTTGATGAAATGGGCTTAGTGGTTATACTAGAGAAAACATCCATTGCAATAACAAAAAGATAGGGGGATAGGGGATCCCCTTGTCTGAGCCCTTTAATATTTTTGAAAAAACCACATAATTTTCCATTATAGAGACAGAGAAGGAAGCAGTAGTGACATAGGTTGAAAATTGGAGGAAAGTGAAGGAACTCAAGAGTGTGAAACAAGAACTGCCAATGGATAGAGTCAAAGCTTTATGCAAATCAACTTTAAGAGTACATCTAGGGGATGATGAGTCCTTATGATATCCTTTTAAAAGTTCTTGCGCAAGAATAATGTTGTCCCCAATTTTTCTTCCTTTGATAAAAGCATTTTGTGCTTTATCAATGAGGGAAGGTAGAATGGGCTTTTTCTTATCTGCTATAAGCTTGGAAATGCATTTGTATAGGACATTGCAACATGAGATGGGCCTATAGTCAGCTGGGTATGAGGGGTTTGGAACTTTAGGAATTAAGGCAAGGTAAGTAGCATTAACTTGCTTAAGGATATTACCTGACTGAAAGAATTACTTAATAGCACAAGTGACTTCCTCGCCTACAATGGACCAAGCTCTTTTGTAGAAAAATGAATTGAAACCATCAGGGCCAGGGGATTTGCTTGAACTAATGGAGAATAAACACCTTTTAATCTCATCATCAGTATGAATGGAACAGAGGTTAGGGATAAACTCTTCATTGATATTTTTGAAACAAAATGAGAGAATGAGGAAATACCTGGGTAACAATGAGGATTGCTACCAATGAGATCATTGAAGTGAGTGATGAAAAGATGCTTATTATCCTCTAGATCAGTTGAGGTACTGTTATCTTCCAATGGAACACTAGTGATCCTTTTTCCTATTGAGCCTGTTCTGCATACTTTTGTGGAAAAAAACTTGTATTTTGGTCTCCTAGGGCAAGTCACTTAACTCTTGTTTTTTGTTGAAAAAGTTGTTCCTCAATTTGACTAAGGCTTGAGAAGGCATTGATGAGGTATTTTCCCCCATTTCTTAGTGCAACATTGCTAGGATCATTGTCCAGGCTATTTTGACATCGGATGAGCTTTTCCTTTGTAAAGTTAACCCTACTGGTTACATCACTGAAGGTGTTGTGGTTGAGTTTTTTCAGCTCAGCCTTGAGCCTTTTCAACTTTGTGACAAACATGTACATTAGAACACATGCAACAGGAAAATTCCAAGCACTGGCAGCTGTGCTCAAAAAAATAATATGATCACACCAGAAGTTAAAAAACTTGAAAGGACATTTCCTTTTTTGTAATGGACAGTCAAGATTAATGATCAAGGGAGAGTGATTAGAGCATAGGGGAGGTTTAAAAATGTAATAAGAATTAGGGAAAGTGGTGAGCCAAATGGGGTTCACAAGAGTCCAATCAAGTTTCTTGGCTATAGTAACTTGGCCATCGGACTTGTTTGACCAAGTATGGAAGTGATCTGAGTATCTTAAGTCATCGAGGTTTAAGTCCATAAAACAATTATTGAGGTCATTCATAATAGGTGTCCATTTGTCTGTTCTCTATGAGCCTCTCTAGGCCATCTAGTGGCATTAAAGTCACCTAAAAGAATCCAAGGGCATGTGGAGATATTAGTGATAGCATCTTAGAGAGGCTTTTTATCCTCTGGAGTGTTAGCTCCATAGAAAAAAGTGACAAAAAAAAAAGGGCTGAGATTAGATTGCACAGGGGTTACATAGCAATGGATGTACTAATCAGACATCTTGATATAATTGAAAGTAAAAACAATTGGATTCCAAAGAATCTAGATCCTACCAAAAGGAGGGTGAGCATTGTTGGTGATGAGGT